ACTCCACTCCACTCCACTCCACTCCACTCCACTCCACTCTACTCTACTCTACACTACTCTACTCTACACTACAATATGCTATACTACACTACAATATGCTATACTACACCACCACAGACACAACACTCTAAACTACACTACATTCTACATCCTATATTGCATAGTTATGTGATAAATTCTAATGTTGCTGAAGTTTAAATGTTTTGATGTATACAGCTGGTGATGGATCAAAGAAAATCAAAGGGTGCTGGGACTCCATCCATGTTGTAGAAGTCCAGGTAATATTTTATTCGTATGTACTTGCACTTATTGTTAATTATTTTTTCTTGTTCAGTATCCTTAAAATCATGCATTCTGATTGTTTATGAGATCTCTGACCATGGTCCAGTATACTGGGATAATTGATTGCTGAACAACAACAACAACAACAACAAATGCAAAACAAGAATATGAGGGGGAGGGAAATAAGTAACTTGATATCGTCCTAAAGTCAGTCTGCAGAGGGAAAAAACCATGCTCTTGTCCATGAAAACCAACTGAGGCAGTCTTATGATCAATGTGTTGGGCAGTTTTCCCCTATCTGGACCTCTTGGTCTGACAGTAAATAACCTCTATTCATTACTGTATATACTTACCAGAGGTTGATTCTGTCAACGCTAACTACTGTAGGACCTTTGCATGGAACTAAAATATATATTTTTTACTGTAGGAAAAGAGCAGTGGACGTCAGGCACACTACAAGCTGACTTCAACAGCTATGTTATGGCTCCAGGTATTCTATAGTACTGTATGTGCTTATAGATAACTAAGTTGGTTTCATAGAGCATCAAACTGTTGTGCAGAAAATCTTGAGTTTAATTCCCCTATCAGAGCAATGACATGACATTCCATAGGCATGTGTCCTTAAAAGCTTTGTGTTTTCTGACAATGTTAAGAAAACACTTTGATTGCATTCACCAAACTCTAATTTGTCTTGACAGAAAATGTTACAATTTTGCGCATGCAATTGAGAAGCACTGTATTAAAAATAAAATTATACCATGGTACGACAACACAATACAATATGATAATAATCATAATTATAATGATAATAACTTTATTAACGTCAAAAACTTATAGCCGAACACAAGTACTCTACTAATCAGGAAGACCTATTCTAGTATTAGTTGTTTAGAAGGTGAAGTGCTAACACAGTTAATTAACACCAGGCCTTTACTCTGTTATCATTTTTAGACTAACAAAGCTGGTTCAGGCATAATGAATCTCGGTGGAAGTCTAACAAGACAGGTATGTATGGATGCAAAACAATCAATGAACATTAGTATCATTTTAGACTTGAATAATATAGAGTTCTGTGCAATGTGATTGGTTGAGCAACCAGTGATTATAAGATGACATTCACTGCTCAAGCAGGGACTATGAGGTTTTCAAAAAACTTGCAAGAATGGAAGTACGAAAGGCTAAGATGTTTTATTAACCTGAACTTCTTCTTTTCTCTGATTTTCAAATTTAAAATTATATCATAACAATAGCAGTCATTATGGATGCATGCAAATGAAATGCAAATGAGACAACAAGCATTGTATCGGCCCGATAGACTCACTTGTATAATTCTTAAAGCAAAGGAATTTTTCATTGAGGGCTCAACTATAATAGCAGCTATTAGCATATACAAACATCTGTACTTCCTAAGAACGCACGCGTTCATTGGTTAATTGGAGGTGAATATTGTATATATATTGAATCTCGGAATATTGAGTCGGCAACAAAATGGCATCTGCCGGCAATCGTTTTGCTACGATTTCCGATGAGGAAATTGAAAAAAATGAAAGTAATGCCATTCCCATCAATACTAAAAAGGCAACGAAGTATGGCCTAAAAGTTTTGCTAAAAGTTTTGCTAAAAGTTTTGCTGAAAGCTTTGCTAAAAGTTTCCTGTGAATATGTCATGCAAACTGCAAGTTTCTGTTTGTTTGCTTTTATTGAATTATTGTATATGTATAAAAATAAGTTGCTCTGTACACAAGTTGGTATATGCTAAAACAATTATTTGCCTCAGCCTCAGTAAATAATATCGAGAATATTTACCTTGCAGCTCAAAGACTCGTGTCTCGGTAAATATTCCCCGATATTCACTTCGCCCTCGGCGAATAATTGCTAATTATACTCAGGCTCAGTAATTATTTGGGAATATTTAATGTCTCTGCAAGTATTCGCCCATAGAGGTTTTGCACCACCATGTGACGGCAGGCATGTTAGATGGCAGGAACAATACGGTCGTCTTACATGAGAAAGAATTCAATTCCCCAGAGCGAAGGGATTTTATTGTTCTGCTATCTAACCACAGGAAGTCCAAGCTGTATTATGGGATGGGCACGTGATGGTGCAAAACCTATATATACACTTCTCCTTCATTGAATATTTTTTAATCATTATCCAACTATACCCGCATTTTACAAATATTGCAGGAGAAAGCTTAGAACAGTTATAAATATCCTCCGATGTTCGTACTCAAGGTGACAAAAGTCACACATTTGCAATATTATGGGCTCGACAAAATACTTACAGCAGTTATAGACTTTTAATTGCCCTAATTCACTATGACGTCACATCAAAACAATCTATTGTTTAAACGCAAAGGATCATGGTCGTCGGAGGGGGTCAAATCAAAGCAAATTCAGCGAAAATTGTTCTAAAACCCATATCAATCCACGAAGAGAAGTAGAATAGCCAGCAAACGCTCAGAATATTTTTAGTACATATTAACACATATTATATCTGAAAACCAGGCCATTTTAGATTAAACTGTTTTGCTAGGAGCAAATTTTGTTGAATTTTCTATTGGATTTGGCGATTGTATCCCACACATAAACAAGCAGTGACATCATAGTGAAATAGGGCAATTGGGGAGGAGGGGGTGCTTATAACCAGGTTTTTATGGCATGCAAATAAAGGTATTTCATGATTATTTTTTTAGGTTGAGTCAGATAGTTCTGTGAATGATGCTAATCCTCATATTGCCAACATTGGAAAGATGGTTGAGGTATGACATTTAAAAAAAAAATTTTTTTAATTTATATTTTCATTTTTTATATTTTCATTTTTTACAATATGGAATCATACGACTAAAACAAAGAATCTTCTTCCCAAGAGAATGACAAAACTAAATCTGAACATGGACAAACTCAACACATTTAAACACGCCATGTTAAGTTACTACGTAACGTCACTGGACAGTTACAACTGTTACGACCCACATACTTTCAAAACAGTTTGTTTAAAATGTAATTCTTGCAGAAACCTCACTCTTTCTACCTCCTGTTGTTAGTTATTTGATTCAAATGTGTCAATATATCTACTTAAATTATCTTTATGCACTAAGTTTCATTTACATGTAAGTCATTATTTTGGGCCCGCAGTAATTGGCACGCTGTTGCGGCCACCCTGTCATGTATATCACAGTATTTTTGTCAGTTATTATATTTCCAGTTTAATATATGGCGAAACTAATAAATAGATAAATAGACATGTGCCTAAAATTGGAAAACATGGAAAACAAAAACATTTTATACCCAAGCTAAGAAGATTTATTCAAATTAAAGATAAATAAATAAATAAAATATGAGATTTAACAGTGGCATTTCTACAGAGTAACTATTCATCCACTGTAATTCCAATTGGAATTTAGGAGTTGATTTTTGCGGAGGGAGGAAAGCCGGAGAACCCGGAAAACCCTCAAAGCACAGTAGAGAACCAACTAACAACTCTACTCACATACGACAGTTCAGTGCTGTCAAATATTCCTCGCTGTCAATCAAACTTCTTTTTCTTTTTCAGGAAATGGAAAACAAGATGAGAAACACCTTGAATGAAATTTACTTTGGTAAAACTAGAGACATTGTTAATTCTTTGAGGTAAGAGCGACACATATCCAACATCTTGCAGTGTTGTGTCGAATAATGAATCTGATGTTCAAAATAACATGTATGTACTTTACAGCCATTCTCAATCACACGCGCCACTCTAATGACATTCTATAGGCACATGCCCTTATAGCTTTGTGTTTTCCAACAAAGTTATGGAAACACCTTGTGATTGACGTCCACCAAAACCACGTCACTCTAGTGATTGTTTCTGTCGCAACGAAGAAGCTTTTGGTGGACGTCAATCAAGGCATTTCCATGACATTCTATAGGCACATGACCTTATAGCTTTGTATTTTCCGACAATGTTATGGAAACGCCATTTGTGATTGACATCCACCAAAACCTTCTTCAGGGCGTGTGTGATTGAGAATGGCTGTAAAGGGATTATGGTATTGGCAGTATTACCTTGTTTTGCTTGTCGTCATTTCATGTGTCACACACGTTTATCCACTGAATTTCAAGAATTCATTTTGGCTGAAAGCACATTGCTGGCTGTGTTTAACCACCATTTGGAGCAGACGAAAGAGACTCAAAGACTTCAAAGAGCTGTTTAAAATCCAGCAATACGATAATAATGCATGGCCAAGACCCAATCCTAATATTGTGATCAATTTGAATAACTACATGTGTTTTTCTGTACACTTACAGCACTAGCTCATGCATGTGAAAATGCTTTTACAAGACTAGTGACTAACTAGCCTTGTGTTCATGTGGAAGCAAGCATAAAAGCATTTTCATTGCACAGAACAATGTAGTTATTCAACAGACTAGCTACTGACTAGCCTTGT